CGTCATGCAATTGCAACCAATGCTCATCTATACTTTTCGGTGGAGTGGTAGCTAGCCTAGAGGCTAGCTCGGTTCGATACTTACTTGCAACAGAAGTTGCAACCAGCTTGCTAACATCAATCCGTTGATGGCGTTCACTTCGTTGTCCACTGAAAAGTAAGGCAAGATTGGCGCAGACCAAGGCATGGTCAGAGTCCAGATAGGTACTCCAAAAGGAGCGGCAGTCTTGTACACAACCACGCCAGCGGTAGCTGATCGCGATGTGATCAATCTGAGTCCAGGCTTGAGATGCAGAGGGAGGACGCCAGGTGGCACATCGGCGATGACTGTGCCGAAAGTTAGTGCTAGCCAGAAACAGGTTGTGGTCTGTGCAAAGTTGCAGTAGACGGTCCCCGTTATCTGACCTGCGACCAACGAGTCCCCATCGGCCACCTAAACGACTCTCTTCTGTGCCTAGACGCCCGACCTGAGCATTCAAGTCTCCGGCTAGTACTACAATATCTGTCGAACGCACTTTCTGGAGAAGAACAGATAACTGGTGGTAAAACTCATCCTTGATTGCATCCGGGCTGCAATCTGTCGGGGCATAGGCGGAGATGACGAAAAGACATCGTTTCTCACGCCGATTTCTTCTCACTTTGATGGAACTTTCTAATCTAACAGCACATAACCGACTGTTAATGGGGATCCAATCGACTAGTGCTGCCTCAGCTCTAGCGCTTAGTGCGACACCAACGCCAGCAAGACCAGACGAAGATGCCACAGGGTCCCCGGATAAGCGCACGTAAAACAAGCTTTTCGAAGCGACAGATGGAGATCGAATTTGTAGTACTTCGCCAGAGTCTTGAATACGGGTCTCGGATAGACAACAAATGTCGATATTAAGACTTTCCAAAGACATAGCCAGCCCTATCTGTTGTCCGACCTGCATAAATGTGCGAACGTTGAAGGCAGCCAGTTTGAATGGTGCACGTGGTTTCAGAAAAACTGCTTCAGTACTCGTATTCGGTGGTAACATACAATTTTCAACCGGACAGTGACTCGAGAACGTTTAGATACAGTCGGATTTCCACCAAAGACGAGCCGCTGTATAAGTATAAAAGAGGGTGAATAATGTGGAAAATAATAATAATAATAATATAATAATAATAATAATAATACAATAATAGTAATAATAATAATAGTATTAATAATGACAATAATTGTAATGATAATTATTTGAATCAATTGATTGTTTTTCGAAGCGAGAAAAGTAGTTTCCATAGACATAGAGTTCATCGTTTGTGTGTGGGCTGTGATACTGCCCGGGTGCCCAAACCGAAGCAGGTGGTTATCTTAGGGGGCCACTCCCCGAGCCTTTGACCTAAAGGTCTAACCCACAAGGCAGTGGAGCATCGTAAGGAGATGCAGTCCCATGGTAGCCGGTGACCAACGATTGGTTCATACGCCATTCGTTCCCGCAGGATACTGGAGCCCATGTGCACCATTGGTTTGGAATCCGGTTAAAGCGCCGGACATTCGCTTTTCGTCCTCTCATTTTCGTAAACAACACCCCCGCCACGAGAAGGCAATGAGTAGGACTTCCCTGGCAGAGGCTGTATACGCGTGGCCGTGTGAGAGTATTTCGAGATGGAGAGCGGACTCACCCCACTCTCGGCCGTACCAGGGCATTCGGGGGCACACCCCGAGCCTTTGACCTAAAGGTCTGACCCACAAGGCAGTAGAGCATCGTGAGGAGATGCAGTCCCTTGGTAGCCGGTGGCCAACGATTGATTCATATGCCATTTGTTCCCGTAGGATACTGGAGCCCATGCGCGCCGACAAGATGATGATGGTATATTCAGGTGGAAGTGTAGTTAATGCTTTGTATGTACCGACGACTACTACAGACTTAACTAACAATCTAGCATCACTTCAGCAGCTAGTTAATGTTACCTTGAATTTATTCGATCAATATAATAGCATTTTGAAATCTATTTTCTTAAAAAGTTCATTTTGTTACACCCAGCAAGAAAATAGTTGTGATTCAAAAAGGCGTATAAATTCACTGGTTATGCAAAATCTTTCCGTAAAATATATAAACGTTCAACAAAGGTGGTCAGGTGTTACAACAATCCTTCTCTACTTACTAAATATACATAAATACACCAAAACACTGTTAAACAATAAAGAACTAAAAAACTTTTTAGAATTAATAAAGTAATAATGGTGTATATATACACTTCAATACTTCAAGTTTGATAATCACTAGGAAATAACCATACTACTAGGGCTACTGCTCATGAGTTAAATTGTTTGAATCAATATTGAGATTTGCAAATTAGCAATTGATACTCTAGTGTTAAATTCATCAATACAGAAAGTAGATTAAAAATTGAACATAAAATAGTAATAACAAAATGAAAAATGTTTACTACATTAAGAAATAATTTGATTTTTAAAAATAAATAAAAGTCGCTTATTCTATGCTTATCCCTTTGTTCACTACATAGTAGCTCATATGACTTATGTATACACTTTGTTGTTCAATTAGGAACTTTCTAATCAAATATATGTCCATGTTTCTGTTTCACACTAAGCACACCTTACTATTTATCTTCATAGTAATTGATTATCTTATTTGTTTCAACATATTTTCAATTGGATACATTCACATGTTATAGAAATTCAACAAGGGCTCACTTCCTTTTTAATATCCATTTTCAATAAACAGGTGGTTAGATGTAGATTGATACAACAATAATTTGATTATCATCGCCTTGTTAATTTTTTGTTACACTTGTAAATTATTATAATTTTTCTTAAAAGTCACACCATATTAATTTTGCTAAGTCTGTATGCAGTCTCAAAAAGGATTAAATGCTCATCGTTTATTCTTGTTTTCTCCGCTAGTTCACTTCAGTTAGAACATACACCTTCAAACCCCCCAACTGTTGCGCAGGTAAAATGGTTGTGAATGATAACAGAACGTTAATGTTAAAACTAAGTGGTCTGTACACAAATCATGCGTTATATATATATATATATATATATATATATATATATATATATATATATATATATATATATATATATATATACAACGCGTGCGCTAAGTTGTTATACAACTGAATATATTTGTGCATTGTGTTTCATTTTATATATTCATAACTGTTCTGTAGAAAGGTATTATAGCATGTTTTCCGTATTATTAATGTTCTGAAATCTCAAAGGAACTAGACTTCTCTCAGAGATTTGAATTCATCGTTTAACATTTCAGTCAGTAAACTATACAAAATTAAACTAATCCCTTTATATTACCATATTCTCATGTATAATATGAGTCTGATCATTGATAGAATCCTCTTAGCTTCTTTTTGTTTAAAATCAATAGTTGAACTGGTTAAAAACTGTTGTGAATTAATCCACTAAAACAGTTTCATTTATTTTATATTATTTAATGACAAATATTATACATCAATTTGTTCATCGAAAGCATAAATTTCAATCAGTTTATAAACACACTTCTTATTACAGTCTATTCTACCCATTATTAATATGAGAATATTTAATCGTAAAAGTTATTCCATAGATATTGCAGTGTTTATTATTAAAAGTGTAAAAATTAGATTCATGCAATTAGTTCCTTTTATGGATTGAAATAAGGCCTTATTTAAATTAGATTCAGTAAAACATTAGCTTTAGGAGTAAGGAATATTTAATTGAGTACATCATTTACAAATAAAGTTTATGTTACATTAAAATGTTTATCATTGGAATTCTTTAAATAAGAAGAAATACCACTCAACAAAGGTTGTCAATAATCCTTAAAATCAAAAGATAAGTATTGTTTTAAACAATTACATAATCTTGTATATATGTCCACACTGAATTAATAACCCAGTCAAAGATATTTCAAATAAGTTACCGCTGTTTTAAACAAATCAAAAGTAATAAGGATCTCTGACATAAAATGTAGACCTGTGAATTGATTTTTTTTTTCAGTGTTTGCTTAATATAATGATAATTACTTTGAACCATAAAATGTATCTTCCGTTCCTGTGGTTGACAGATATGTTATAAGACGTTTTCAAACTGACAGGCATCAATAGGATAAAGCCTAGTACAGATATATGTTAGCCCAAGTGGCCATACCTCATTAACACGACGAGATGATCACAAAACGGATCAAAATAGTGGTAGTAGTAGTAGTAGTAATGTTAACAAGAAATACTAAACCTTAGTAATATGGCTTGAAAAGACTGGAAATGTTTGCATGAATGAATACTGGAATTCAATATCGGAAAGTAAGATAAAGAGTGAATGCATCTGCACTGTTGTGAATGACTCTCAGCCATGTTAATCAAATTCTTCAACCATTGGTTACGATATCCACGTGGACCCAAACCAGGTGGTCTGCATCTGTTAAGATTGCTTAGACCAACAGTCAATGATTGATCCCACTTCTAAGTTTGCCCTCCCCCAACTTTCTTCCAACCTATATGTATTGAAGTTGATTTTCCAACAGGTGTGATTAAGAGTCTAATATACAGTAAAACAACTATTTAATTATTGGATCACATTAAATTAACATGAACATTTATCAGCTATTCGTTTGTCAATGACAGAAATCCTAATACTTACGCTTTCCGCAATCGAATAGAACCATATATTCACAGCCTTGATAGATTAAATAAATACTTGTTTTCAAATCTTAGCATCACTTACCATTTCGTCTTCTATATTTACACAAAAATACACCGCTAAATCTATCCCATTCCTTGAAGTAAAGTCATCCAGAGGAAGGACTTATGTTCATTTATCCTAATAACCTCTATTTGAAAGTCTAATTTCCAGTTTGTTGCTAAGTAATTAATTATTTCATGCAGTGTCAATAGCTTATAATTTTGTTTTCACTGTGATCAAATCACCTGACGTCAACGTCTGTGCAAAATATACTATATCACGTTCGGGTCTTTTACTAAAATTTCAATCGTCTTTTCTTTAATTGATGTATTTAGTACGGCACCTGATGCTGGAATTACACAAATTTTAGCCCAACTTTATGAAGCTTCCAAAAGATTGCACGAAGCCTCAACCAATACTAAAGATCCAGATACTTTAGTTGTCAAACCGCCTCCTAGATCGAATTCTGCTTCTAGTACTTACTCAAGAAATGATCAAAACAGTTATTTGTCAGCCAGTTTAACTGACTCTCTCTCAGCAAATCAATTTCTTGCACAGGACCAATCGCAAGATCCTAAGCAATCTAGAGTGGATAATTCATACGAAACGGAAAGAAATATTAGAATCAAAGTAAGCTCATTATGATATTGATCACATCATTATGTATCAGACAATTGGAATGCAATTGTCATCAAAATCTAGTTGTTGTCTTATATTCTAAAGCAATTTGTACGCATTTGTATTTGTGAATATTCCAGTTTACTTTTGAAATGCTATCATATATTTCGAAGCTAACTTATGTTATTATTCCTTCGTAATGTGGTATAATGTTTCTTCCCATTGATATAACCATATTTTGCATACAATTTAACACGAGAAATATTCTAAAGTTAAAATAATTTTAGTGAAACAAATTTTATCACTAAAACAATGATAATAGTTCTCACTCGGTTTTATTACACTTTGATGTCATTACAACTTGAGAAAATACCTTCCTTATTCAATGTATTCTTGTTAATTTATATAGTTTTATGACTGTACAATTATTGGAAATGTTACTTTTGATACATAAATTGAACATTAATTGTAACTCATCATTTTTATCTTCGACCATGTTTATACATGTATATGATCATTCAGTGAATGATTCATAGCCTTATCTTAATCGAAGCTGCGCAAATTCAACTTTCTGATCATCACTGATACACTCAAAGGTACTAAATATGTTTGCAATTCCTGATTTTAATTCTGCAACACAGTTAACATTAAATTAGTTACTGGAATTAATCCAAACATCTTGGTTATATTTATTGTTTATAAAAGCGTTGGCGGAAATATGTTTACATAATGAACTTACACAAAATTCATAATTGTAAATGAAACTATCACGAATTGAACTGACCGTCATCATGGACTGAGATTAGCATGAATACTACAGAAAAGCAGGCCTATCATAGTGTGAAGCCAGTGATCCATATATCTAACTTCTGTCAATTTATAACATAGCACAACCATTATCTATTTTCATCAATCACATTGGTCTCAATTACGATCTGCTAATTAGTGGCAAGTTGTGGAAGGTGAATATCTGAAGTTTTATTAGGAAATTGTGATTAGTGACGTTCAAAATTGAGACAGATACAATCAATGACGTTGAGCAACAATCGCGGTTTATTGCTAATTGATTGGAGTTGCGAATATCGACTATTCTGGTCCAAGTCAATGTTCTTAAGGTTAAGTGTTCATCATGGGTTGAATCGTGTGGCGTCTTGAGTATACACTACTAAAGAGCCTCAGACTGTGACGAAACAAGCTGTCCAGTACATACTTGAAATTCAACTTCTCTGCGCAGACCATCGAACTAGATTAGTATTTTTAATCTTAGATATTTAAATTTTCTAGTACGTAACAGAGAATGTGACTGGTTGTTTTTGCAGCAAAAAATAAATTATATAATCTGTTTTATTCAGTTATCTCCATTTACAGATTTTTAAAACACAAAAACATCGTATTTCATAGCTTTTTACCTGTAAATATCTACACCTTATACCAATACTCCGTTTATCACATAGATTACTTTGACTTGTTTCCTTCATTTTGTAGAGTGGAAGTGGAAATCAGCCGAATACTTTACAATATCCAGATGATTCCTCTCCCAAACTTACGAGCAGTCATCGAGTCGATTCAATAATATGTTTACTGACGACCTTCAAAGTAAAAACGATCCTCATACGTACGGTTCTGTTATGAATGCTGATACTAAAAGAACAGGAATTAGTCAAGGTACAGATTCAAATAGGTACTATGATCGAAAATCTGCACAACAATGGTCACAGAAATCTAGTGGGCGCAATAATTGGGGTAATGTTGATCATCAAAGAAATAAATGGAAATCTAGTGGTTCCACAGACTTCAACATACCAATTTTTCAAGAACTCACAACCGAATTGGGACACTTAACAACGGAAATGACGATAACAACAACTATGATGACGACGTTTTCTCCAACTACTGTTACAGCTTCCGCTGTGTTACTAACTAATTCCACGAGATTAGTTACAACATCAAGTGCATTAGAAAAACCAAGTGATTTATCATCACTGGAAGTGAAGGATATTGTTACAGAAAGTGTTACAAAACAAACACCTCTTACTGTCCGGACAGATTCTGCATTAGATAGGCATCCACAAACTACAACACAACGTTACATAGACCCAACGTTGAAATCAGGCACATACACGGAATCACTTTTACGTCAACTGACCAATCAAGCAATATTGGATTTTTGCCAGACGATGAGGACAATACTCAAGTGATCTCAAGACAAATGCTTTATCAAACACCTGGTTCTCAAAATATTAATTCTTGGCATCAAACTCTGAGGTTTCTCAACGTTTTGGTGAAGTGAGTTTTTGAATGTTTGAATATTGAAGACAACACTTATACAGTTTATTCTCTTTCATTCCTTATGACAGATCATGAGACAGTAAAAGTGTATTCTGTGTACTGCAGCTTATAATATTTACCTATGTGGTGCATATGATTTCGATACAACTGTTCGTTCTGTTCCAGCATCTTTATCCTGGACTATTATAAATTGTCTGTAAAGTATTAATAGGTTTCATAAGATCAGTATTTTAACTTGGCGACCGACCGAGTCGATTAAGGTCATGACATCTAATATTTCAGTAATGTAACAGCTAGTTATGTCCTCAGGGAAATAACATGAAAACACCTAATTATTTCATACCAGTTCCGCGGTACTGATATGATGTGGTAACCTGAAGCGATACATATATGTTCCAGGTTCTGCTTGACTGAGTAGTCAAGTACTGGATGTTTTTCTATTGATCACTTTAATCTATGATTACCAATAAACCCTTCACTTTGTAACAATTTTGATATTACTAAGTTAAAATACTTTTTGTCTGTATGGTATAATGTATATTTTTAAAACTAGCCACGTTAAACATCTAATGTGGTATTCTTTTTATGTGTAACCATATATATATATCGCTAACAAAATTTGGCAACTTTCCTTTGAATATTTTTTAATTCTTATCAGCGACTTGTGTGGTATACAGAATACACTTCAAAACTTTATTGTATAAGGCTTATTCGTAAACAACATGTCGCTTATTAAACAGTCTTTAAGTTTCATTTATTTTTGCACATTTAGTAGTCTTAAACTTAGAAGCTGGTTTTCGTGGAATCTATCTACGTGTAAGTGACTCAGCTCTCCACCTGGAAATCTGAATTATGTGATTATACAGTAAAATACTATAGATATTGTTCAACATGCTTCTTACGTACAATATAGTACGAAATATAATATTGTCTTCCCATCCTAATTAGTCAGAATCTGAATAGGAAAACTTATCTACCTAAATGTTGTGTAAATTTCACAAGTGCAATAAAAAAATAATGTGGATGAATAGCTAGCAATCACAACAATCTGTTACCTCAAAATGTTAAACTAAGATGCTTCTCGAGGTTCTAGGTCTTTTGGTTAAAAGACAAGATTAAAGCAGTTGTGCTACCCTGCCGTATTTTACATTGCTAAGCTTATTGTTCAAAGAAGCGAATGATACTACAAGTAAACGTAACCGCCCATAGATGCATCATAAATTAAACTAGTTACCAAGGATTTCACTGGTTCCGGAACATACGTTTATTAGATACCATATCACGTGACCTGATGCACTGCTTTATTTTTATTTATAGGGCTCCGGAAATCGAGGCAGTGGTAAAGCACCATCAGTCCTTACACCACAATATCAAAGGTCCCGAAATTTATGGTCACAGTCCGGCAGAGAGTCGGCAATCCCCAACGCTGCAGATACGCGTTACACTGAAGACTTTATTGGTCCCCGACCAGACAAAAATTTAGCTTTCTATCCAAGCACCCAAGAGCCAGAAAGTCGAGGGGATGAAGAAACTTGGAACGTTTCTCCCGATAAGTTAGCTTCGGGGTTTCTAGAAGGAGTTAGTGGAATGAGCCCCAACATAGAGTGGAATGAGGACAAAAACGATCACCACAGTAAGTCTCTTAAACCTGTTGTGATACACATAATTTGGGATGAACTTAGTATCTGTTAATTCTTCAAACGAACAAACTACTTTTGTTTTGTTTGCTCGTTATTATAGGAGCAGATAATTTTCATGCCCAGTTATTTATTATTTCGCACGTAGGACCGATGACCTAATTAACAATCATTTGGCATCCAACGAACAACAACTGAAACCTTAACCCGTATCGGAACTTGAGTTTCTTTAGACCAATTTCCAAATGAAGTTGTCAAACAAACCTTTTCTCTGTTGTTCAGCAGTTTGTTGTGTGACTCGATTCGCACATTAATATAGAGAAAGTTCTTAACCACACATCAACATAAATTGGAAATCACAATGTGCGTAGAATTACTCCATAAGTGAAAGATTTGTAATTTTTTTAACATTAACTTAAGGCAATAATAATTTAAACCTTGAACGGAGAACATGAGCATGAAATAATCTGAATGCCTAATAATCAATTCAAAGCTCTCTCATGATGTATCCTGTTACAACAATATCAGTTTCCAATTTTTGTTAATCTGAACCGAGTTTTTTTTCATTTCAGCAGGCTCGTCACAGTGGCAAGGTGCATCGGGAAGTAGTAGAAGTGGCAACACAGTTCCTGAGGATACACCCATACTGCATCCCCCAACTCAGCCAACGCAACCACCTATTCCACCGCGGGTCGATAATATTCCGGAGATTCTTCCACAACCACCCCTGCCACCCCCAGAAGTGTGGGTACCAGCAAAGTTAAGCCCCGGACAGCCGGTGCCACCCATATTGCTAATACGAGAATATAGTGTTGAAGGTCCCCTATACGAAAAGGAAGACACTGTCTCACATACCTACAACTCAGCATCCCACCAACGGTTAATCACGTCTATATTTTTACCTCTAATCATTATATTTATCCTTTAAACCGAACAATGACTTTCTCAGTTACATTTTCTTGAAATGTACATAGGCACATTTGATAGCCTTTGCTCAAAATGTATTTACATGTAACTTGTTAACATTTTGAATTGCTTGTGTTCTCTTAATATTCATTTTTACTCCATCGATCTAAAGCTTTGCATTTATACAAGGTCACATGTTTAAAAATATATGATATCCTACACAGACCTAAACTCGCATTTACATTTTTTTCAGAGGATCTAAGCATTAAATAAAGGTGACTTGGCGTAACAAAATCATTCTTTGCATTTGAAAAAAAGAAAGACGTCATTAGTATGATATAATGAGGTTACATTTCGACGTTTGTTAAAGGGTCTTCTGATGCAACTGTGGAAGCTCCATTTATAGGGACCCACGGTTTATTTGAATCCAGAACACAACGGAAGATCAGTGGACCAAGTTCAAACCAACGTAGGGAGTTGGGACAGTGAAGCCTTAAGCGGTGCACAGCAATCTGACCTTCAAAGTATGTTGCAGGTTCTTGCTCAGGTGTTGTGGACCTAGCTCGAATTTCTTCAGATGTTATTTGCGTATTCACAAAAGCTGGGCGAACGTACGGGAAAGGATCTATGGTCAGGTAGCCCCTTTCTGGGTTGAATACGTTAGTTATTTCATCTGAACCTACACAGTCTAGGCGTAAAAGTCTTAACGCAGGAACAGGTCCACGTGCTTTCCAACTTATACGAGCAGGATTTATTTGGTTGGTTTTGATATTGAAGATAACACCCAAAATAGCAGGTTGTGATTTTCCACCACTAGAGCTAAGGATGTTATTTTCACCGACACAGCATACCCCAAGTTCATAATTGTGATCACTACATATTAGTGATGAAAGTATTTCAACTAGTACAGAATGTGAAATGTTTCGTGGATCTGGAAAACCCCCGACTATGTGGACTGTGACATTAACACTTTCTTTCGAAAAGAAGAAACGTTCAGAATTTCTGAAAAATGACCTGGCGCGCAATGGAGTATCCAGATGTCCTATCGAACAACCAACCGGACAACGTAAGACGACAATGTAACAGGACGTTGCATCATCAGAAGTTGTGTATTCTGGAATGATATTGTTTGCAAGTACATTGGTGACCAGTAATGGTATAGTGGCCATTTCGCCTTGATGGACGTAAACTGAGGAAAGACGATCCTTAACGTCGATTAACTCCCTTTTTTTGAAATCATCCGCGATACTCTTAATGAATGAACTTGTAGAGAACAATTGAGCGAAAATGTATATCGACGACTTTTCGCAATTATATCTCTTCCCATCGAAATTAAGCACCATTCACTCTTCAAGCAACCTAAAACTAATGTTGAATAGAACATCAGTAATAATCTAAAGCGATAAAACCATAGAATTATGAATTGTTAGCAATTTTGTTGTATTTCAACAGTGTACAAACTAGCGAGCAAAATGTTATTATGAAAATAAGGCCGTTTCTGAAAGAACATTTGGGGAATTTATACACCATGTACAAGATTAATAATAAACCCTCAGTTATTTACATCTGAAAGTATTAAGTATGTAAAAGTTTTATACAAAATAAATTAAGTAGATCATAATATACAGATCGATTGATCAGGACCACCCATTTAACTGAATATGGTTTATTTTAGCGGCCACCTGATTCGATTTTCGCAAAATAACACGATCTTTCGAATCCTCACTTTGCAACAACCATGTTCGCCAATCACTTAGTAAAAAATATAGACATGATCTTCTGAATCTCAAAGCTTCTGACATCAACATCGAAATCACAGCTTCTCTTTGTCCAATTGAACCAGTGAGTTCATTCATGCGGTCAAATAACAGTACTGCATCTACTAAGTGGAAAAGATCAACGGTTAGATAATGTAAACGAAAGAACTAAAAGTCCTTGTACATACAAACTTACCTGTGTAAGGCTGTCGAACCAAATGAATTAATTCGAACATAATTTTTTGTTTAATTTAAAACTTTCCAATGACGATGCATTTTTAGTATCAAAAGTATTTGTTTTTTCAATAATTGCTTGGTTGGCGAATCTTGAGTGGTTTATTAAGGAAGGGGAATTGTCGGCATATGTGGGAGATGAAATCGCGCTTGATATTTCTTCACTGAAAGTATTATCCGAAGATCTAGGCGATGACAGCGGTGAAGATTTCGGCGAGAAAAAACGCCAATTTAGGTGATTAATGTACGGAGGTAAGGGACCTAAAAAAAGTTGACTGGCTGAATTCTATCTTACCTTTGACTCTTGCTTGAGGATTTTTGGTGGTTTGTGCAGACTTTTTTCGCCCAAAGTTGAGCAAAACTGTATTCGGATTACAAGAATTAACTTGCAATGAATCCATCTCATCAACGAAACCTTCATCCGCGACGAAGGATGTAGACTTCCGTCGGAAAGGGTTTCCGAATGTATCCGACCGTTCAGGAGTTGGATTTATCTCCCTCAAAGGTGTTTCGACCTGCCGGGAATTTCTGTAGTTAACATAATCACCCATTAAGGCGACTGGTTGTTGATGAATCAAGTCAACTGCTCGGATGCTAGATGAACCATTTAGGAGGTTATCAAGTTCATGCCTCATTTTTCCCAAAACTATGCGCAACTTGGTTCGAGATATATTACAAGGTCGGGGAGAATTTGAATGAAGACGCTTAGGTTTGATATACATCGATTTAAATTCACGTAGCGGCCACAAAGGTAAAGGCAATAAGGCTGATGGTAACTAAAACAAAACAAATAACTAAGGTATTTACTTACAGTAACAGTTGGGTTTGTGGGGCTGTCAGTTTGTGTCATACGCACGAAGTTATCGTATTCAATTTTAGCTGAATGCCGAAGCTTTTGCAAAGAATGTTTCAACTGATAAGGAAGTGCACGGTCAATAGCTTCAGGCTTAATCATCCCAACAAACCCTATTCGTTCAAACGCCTTTGCTAGGGGCTTTAAAAATCAGTAAAATCACAAGAAAAATACCATAAAGTAATATTTCGGTATGGTTCCTAGATAGTTCACAAACTGATGACCCCAGGCTTCCGTCATACGTTTATGATCACATATATCACCTTAAAATTTCATAACATATGCTGTGACTTACCAAGTAACTGAAGAAATACAGGATAATTGTAAGGAAGTATATGCAGATGTACTGACTGGAGATCACTTGATACTTTTAAATAACCAAACGGTGCATTCTGACTCTTTTTGATACCATAGCTGAAACACCGCCAAACCATATTTTGCTCCGACGAATTTAGAAACTCTTTCGTAAAATGTGATGGAGTCAACTCGTAACGGTCGACAGGGAAATACTCGGGCAACTCAGGTTCCACCACAGGAACTTTAGATACAAGGACTTCAGGATGTGCACTTCTAGGTGGCTTCAAAGGAAATATAAAAATACTCTCGACATACCAACTCTGATGCTAGCATCTCATCATCAGGCCAAAATTGTTCTGGGATAGGCCAAGACGATGACCTTCCCATTAGCTTAACTGACATCAACTGCTTTACGAACTTCTCTTGGAGAGCCGCATCAACGCAGTCAGTAGACCTTCGTAATTTTAAAACCACGCCAGGTTGGCATTTTGTGACAAGAGAGTCAAGACATTGGTGGAGTTCCCGACCGTCGTAAACATCAAAACTTTCACCGCCAGTTTCTTCCGCAAGTCTTTTAAGCGGCGAGATTGTTTCTGATCTTATGGAGCTACCACCATGAATATTACTGACAAATGCGGGAAAACGAAGTACCAGAGAATACATGCGGTAATCCCAACGGAAAGTTTCTTTTGTCAAAACATTCCCAAGAACGGCAGATTCTATGGAAGTTATAGATGCATCCTTTTTAGCATAATTAAGGAAATATGTCAAACTTACATTGAAAATTTGGCCATCAAAACCGTATGAGCCTATGCTAGTAGTAATACATATTATTACAGAAGGTTCAATACATGATGGATAAATCCCCTTAAAAAATATTAACTGATAAATGTTAAGTACCATCCCATAATTTTCCAGTCCGAGTTGCAATCTATTTATATTTAACATTCGGAATGTTCTTTGAATACCAGTTGACAAATCAACTAAACCGTCTGGTTTTATATTATTTAAGGCAGAATGAAGTAACTGAAGATCAACATTCTGTTTCCAACCGGTAAGCTACAACAATTAAGAAGATTGTGATGACATACTTTGACATAACTTATGTCAGAATTCAAAGTGAGCACAAAATAACGATCTACTCTTGATTTGCTCATCCTTATCTACCAGTTAATGTAATTAAGATTATTCCATAAACAAACTTTGAAAAAAATCTCTATCGCAGATTTTGCTACGTCTAGTAACGTAGTGCCTTGAAAAGTGCGCTGGTTCATTGCTGCGCTGTTGTCAAGCAGAAAAACAATAACCGTCATCGCTAGCTACTCAAGGTCATACGGGCAAACCAGCCAATCACAAGAGCACAACCGCAACGCATACAGTAAAGCGTAGCACTCCTAATGCTATGATTGCTTGACACTGCATTATATATTATATCGAGCTGACAATATTGCATCCTGATTGGTCAAAATTTACAGCAGAGGCTCATATGGATATATTCGTTAAACATGCTGTTTTTTTAGCATAAGGTCTGATTTCCTTAAATTATGGAATTTAATAGCAATAGATAATATGCGGAAACAATAGCTTTCATCAGTAATACATATTTTCAGTTCTAATTTAATCAATAATGTATTCAGTAATTACTTCCACTCTTTATGAGCCTCCAACAATCATATATCTATAGATTTGGGTCGTATGACTGAATATATTCATCTTTTACTAAAAAGACGAAGTGTAATAATTCGTGTTCTATAGTCGTTATTTTGATTTACATCTCTAATTCTCATCCATTACAGTATGTTGACCTACAGTTATTTGGCAACATTATGGAAACATCAGTTTACTTGAACCGTAGGAACAGCTACCATGGTAATATCAGTTTTTTAGACTTATAAATAATAACTCTCAGCTCAAAGAAAGAAAGTTATTTTTTAATTTTCGATGGGTTTCAGAATTCGAGCATTAACCTTCATATTGATATTGGAGTTTCAATAGTAACAATTTCTTACTTCTAAACGTGTCTGCATTTGAAATAAAAGGAATCTTATCACGTTTCTTTTTCTGCACATAAGTGACAGTGGAGATTATATCTCTATTACGATGTATTGGTAAGTTATTTCCATTCATTGAATGATACCTGAGATCTTAAATTAATATGACCATGAATTTAAGCAAGCACTTTTCTCTGAGAGAATCCGAAAGTAGCCTTGTGATGAAGAATTCAAATATCGTTAACCATACGTAGCTACTTATAAGTAGTAGGAATGCTATTTGAAAAATCAACAACCTGGCGTTTCCAGTCATTTGTTTTCATTGGTTGTCTACAGTCGTCCGTTTTTGGTAAGCATCTTTTGATTTTCATTGTTGAGTGTATAGACTTCCTTATTTGATATACCAGGCTGACCTACGATAAGGGAATGATTAAAAGTAGACTGAGTTTTATCTCACGACAGTGATGTTTAATCTATACGTGCGTTTGTCAAAGCGTGAGTGAACACCTCCATAGAAAATGGACTCCAAGCATGTGGAGAACTTTAAATTCAAATTCACTTTATCTGAATTAAACAACCATTACATAAACCTGACTATGAATCATGGATTTTGAATTATTATATTAATCGATTTTATCTGTGGTAGTCTTTAAAATGTTTATAAGCCTTATAAGATACCTATATCTCCATATAAATCACATCACTTGTCTGAAAATTAAAGCGAAATAAACGAGAAGTGTTTAATCATAAGTGTTTGAAATATGCGTACCTTTTTTTCTATATTCTATCCAAGTTCCTAATTATTCATTACACTAATTTTCCAATATAAGCAATCACATGAAAAAAAAATTTCATCTATTTAAAAATGAATATACTCTGTAAATTGATAGTTTCAAAAATAGATTTTGATTATCTTAAATTATCAATGAAGTAAATAAAAATAATATTACAAGAAGTTATCACATCAGATCGCTACAGTCAGAGTGAATAAACATTGTAAGATCATTAACCACTTATCAAAAACACTGAATGATGATTAGATTACTCTGTAGACATTTAACACTATTATGATAGTCTCTACTTACTCTTGCCATTCCAGGTTAGAGAGATGTAATGGTTGCAGAAAATGATATTTCGAGACCCTGTGTAGACAAACGATCAAAAAACTGCATAAAATCAGCTTTACATAACAAATTTTCAGTTAATCGTATTCTTCCCACATGGTTAGGTTTCAGGTATATTATCACATTTATCTTCTAAGTCGCTCTTAAATATAGTGGAACAATGAAGCAATCCTGGAGTTATATTTAAGATGATGTCTTTATTAACTAAAATAGCTGTAATATGTTACGTATGCCCGATAACTATCTATCTCCATGTACAATATTGGTTCGAGTAAAAGTAAATTAGCCCCCAAACGAAAACATGGCATGAGTCCATGAAATCCTTAGCTTCCGGACTGTGGTGCGTTAGAAGATGCATAGGATTTGATTGGGGTTCACATGAAAATCGCGATCAGTGTTGGAAAACTTTAAGTGACATGAATAAGAATCGGTCACAATAACTCAGATATATCCACTATTTTCAACCACTACGTTTTTAAATTTAATTGGCGTTGTTTGCTCGTATCTTCCCATTGTTGTTTAGGACTGCAGTTGATCAGTCTCTTGTTGGTATATGTGCATCCTGTGCGGATTGCCTCGATATTGCCTTAAGTCACAAACTTTATAAGCAAAGATGAACATTGGCTAACAGTGGAATCCAGGACGCTGGTTTTGTCCTATTTGAGACTCTTCAGCTGGATATGCCTGCATCCCAGAGTTGATGTTCACTCTAGAACTCAAACCCAGCACACCCCATTGCACAAGCAAGTGGCTATCAGGACTCATTAGCTAAGTGGATAACGCGGTGGCGTTTGGAGAGAATGGTATTGGATCCGAGTCTCGGATCAAATATCAACTCTGGGATGCAGGCACATCCAGCTGACGAGTCCCAAATAGGACGAAACGAGCGTCCTGGATTGCATTGCTTATGAAACACTACGTTTTTAGTTTCAACTCTGTCTAATAAATACCTTCTTTTCATTCTGTCTTTTCGAAACATATCTCCGATGTTTAGTCTTTCTAACTATCATTTATTTTACTAACAATTCAACCCATTTTTACTAATCTTGTTAATTTCATCTCTCTGTGCTGATGTAATATGAAAAAGTATGTTAACGCTAATCTTCCCAGACTCTACATCGGCTATTACTTGAATAGACAATAGCTATAAGTGACGGAAAATCCTTCCCTGTTAAGAATAATAATATGCTAGTGAATATGTATTCTGTCGTATTGTCATTGTTATCCTACCTCTATAAATTACATTGTCAACCTTTTTGATTAATGTGCTTTGAAACTCTTCCGGCAATTCACCTCTGTATACATTCAGAAATTTGCATTGCGACGATAAGTATATTTTTTGAGAAACAGCTGTTTGTTATGAAGAGAAAATTCGTGAAAATACAAATAGAAAGTACCTATTGAGGAGAGCTATTTTTCTATCGAGTGTGAAAATTATTAGCATTGATGTAAATGCTTCTTTTGATAATATTTATCATCTAACTTCTTGTTTACTTGTTTATACTTATATGCTTTCAGTAATTAAAAGATACAGGACACATTTTATTCAAACTTTAGGTTAGACATGAACACCGTTGGACCAATCAGTTCATGATCTCATTTACAAACGTAATGATCTCCACAAACCCATACTGATAATTAATTTTACATTCAACGAGACTTCAACATGTTCTGTAAGTGTTCAGATATCAAATTTATACACATTAGAATACCAATTTATAATGTTTAATCCTTATTCAAAGACAGTTGCTTATTCTCGGAACTTCGACTTTCCGTTGGAACTGTTCAGTTCTTTCTGTTTAATGTGTTCGAAATTCAAAGGAAGGAAGACGATAGACTTCCATTTCCTATCACTAGGTTAGAATTTCATAGTGGATACTTTTTAATTTGCGGCACGGAATAATTTATTACTGCCTTCTAATACCCTTCTGAGTACTTAATTTATAAATAGAATTGATTTAGTAAATATTACTTACTTTTTCATTGAAAAACCTAATAGCTAGTTTCAGTGGATGACAGTAAATATACGTTATGACAGAATTTTGGTAATAGGATTCCAATGTAGTAACCTCATTGTAATTAGTTTCTGTTGCCCCATATCTCATGAGTGATTACTTCTGAAATTATCTTAAACAAGATTATACAACTAACCACTTTTAAAAACTTGAAATTAATTATTCTTGTTTTATTTTCATCTTGTTACATGTTTGATTAATAAATGGTGTTTTCAAACAGGTATGAACATGATCTCTAGCGTCTCTGAAAAATCATATTACAGTAATATCTTATGGATAATGTAGAAAATTATATGGATCTTATGTTTGGGTTTATCTGAACCTGTCTGATCTCAACACATCCATTATAGTGCAACCTGGCATCAATATTCTTCATGTAGTCAACTTTTTGAAGAGTACGTTTTTATGAATTACCTCAAACCAATATTAGCTAATAGTCGGTTGTTGTAATTCAAACTTTTTATCGTTAATTTTTGTAACAGCTAACAAAGTTGTTATGTTTAATTGTAAAAAATGAATTTCAGCACTTTAAACGTATTATTTAAACGTATTCTAAATAAAGAGAAGGCTATTTGTTTTATAATCATTTTCGCAGTGTTCTATTTTCAATGCTTTTAACTATAAAGCATTCATTGTTTGTTCAAGTAACACTACCAGCATAAATTTAAACAAATCCACTAGTTAGATATTCTCTTAATATATTAGGATGATTTATAATGATACTATGTAATTTATATGTGCTGATAAAGTACATCTTATGAATAAAAAAGAACATTTTCACTAAGATAATGAAATCTGTCCAAGTAACTCTCTTAAGGATCATCGTTAGCTTTTTGGATCATAGTGAGTCTTGAAACCTTATATGTATGTCTCGTCCCATTTGGGTCTCATCGGTTGAGTGTACCCGTTTCCCAGTGTTCATTTTCACGCTACTTTGAATATAGCACTTCATTTACCTTCAGTCTACATGTTTATTTATAAACATTATACACAAAGGAGAAACGAAATAATTCAACTGATAATAACAAAACAATATGACATTAAATGAATGAAAAACGATCATTTTTAACAGTGAAACAGATAACCTGTACACTTTTTGTGTATGATGATTCATTTTCTCCATCTTTTCAATAAATCACTTCATCAACAGTGAATATTTTTAAATTATTGATTTTGTCCAGAA